GCGGAAGGTTCACGTACGCTAAGGCTGTCTCAAAAATCATCGAACAACACCCGCGGAAGTCCTTTCGTAAAGATGTCTGCAATCTGATATCGGGATGGAACATGAAGAACTCGTATCTCGCCCTTAGCGACCTTTTCACGAACAAAATGAATGTCCATCTCAATGTGTTTGGTGCGTTGATGTTGCACCGGATTACCTGACAAGTAAATAGCACTCACATTGTCACAATATACGAGGGTAGCTTTCTGAATGGGACAATGTAGCTCAAGTAACAAATTTCTGATCCAACAGGAGTCAGAAACCACATTAGCAACCCCTCGATACTCAGCCTCTGCACTAGAGCGTGATAATGTCGGCTGCCTTTTGGAGGACCACGAGATCAGGTTGTCCCCAAGGAAGACACAATAACCTGAAGTTGATCTTCTTGTGTCTGGGCACCCTCCCCAATCTGCATCAGTGTAAGAAACAAGCTTGCCAATAGAAGATTTATACAGATGCAAACCGTAGGACAAAGTACCCTGTAAATAGCGTAAGATACGCTTTAGAGCACCCATATGCGCATTGCGCGGATTGTGCATGTGAAGGCACACTTGTTGAACTGCATAAGATATGTCAGGTCTCGTAAAAGTGAGATATTGGAGAGCACCTGCAAGACTCCGATACTTAGTGGGATCCTCATATGGAGCATCGTGAGTGGCACTAAGTTTAGATTTCGTGTCAACTGGTGTGTGACATGAGCTACAGTTAGCCATGCCAGCCCTGTCAATGATATCTGCAGCATATTTTTTTTGAGACAAAAATATACCATTAGCATTACGAGTCACAGCAATCCCCAAAAAGAAACTCAAAGGACCTAAGTCCTTCATTGCAAATTCAGAACCCAACATAGCCATAAAATGCCTCCGCAAGCGATCCGAAGACGCTGTTAGAATGATATCATCAACATATAGCAGAATATAAGCAATATCAGAGCCCTGTCTGTAGACAAATAAGGAGTGATCAGATTTACTATGAATGAACCCAATAGTGGCAACAAATTCTGCAAATCGCTGATACCAAGCTCGAGGAGCCTGTTTTAGGCCATAGAGAGATTTCCTTAATAGACATACATGATCAGGGCGACTTTTGTCGCGAAAACCCATTGGCTGATGCATATAAACTGTTTCGTTGAGATAACCATGTAAGAAAGCATTCTTGACATCCAATTGATGTATGGGCCAAGAGTGAGAGAGAGTAATGCTAAGAACAGTACGAATAGTTGTCGGTTTTACAACTGGACTGAAAGTCTCATCACAATCAACACCCTGCTGCTGTGTCTTGCCATCACCTACAAGACGAGCTTTATGCCGCTCAAAAGAACCATCAGATTTTCTTTTATGACGAAAAATCCACATAGATCTAATAACATTCACGTCTTGGGGCCTTGGTACCAAATCCCATGTATGATTAGCAATAAGAGCATTGAATTCATCTAACATTGCACTGTTCCAATTCGGGTCACGAATAGCGCTAATAGGGTCCTTTGGAATAGGGGAGATGTTAGGGGTGGTCATCGTGTTTAGATTGTGAAAGTATTTTGTGTTTGGTTTGATGATGCCATTTTTTGCTCGGGTGGTCATTTGGTGAGATGGGGTAGCAGGATGCTGAGGAGGGTTGTTGGGCGCAGGGTGGTGTGGGGCAGTATGCAGCAAAGGTGGGGGCTGATAATTCAGTCTAGTTTGTGACATAGGGGGTGAGGAAAGTGGACTGGGCTGCTGGGAGCTCTCGGTTTGGGGTGTGACAGTACCAGGTGAAGAAGAGGACCTGGAGGAGGGAGATGTGTCGGACTGTTCATGAGTAGCAATTGGCTGCTGTTGAGGAAAGGAGGGTTGGGTGCTTTGCAAATGGTGGAAGTAATTTAAAGGATTTGCATCCAGAAAATCATAATCATGTGAATGTGGCGTGTGAAGTTTGGAAAAAGGGAATTCATTTTCAACAAATCTAACATGTCGACATATTATGATTTTTTCATTTGACATATCATAGCACTTTGAACCTCGATGATTTGGCGCAGGGCCAAGATAGACACAAGGGGTGGACATTTCTTGCAATTTGTGGATAGAAGTAGAAGGAAACAAAGGAAAACATAGACAACCAAAGACGCGCAAATCCGAGTAGATAGGATCACATTGATATAAAATCTGAGTGGGAGATTTAAAACCTAAGACTTTGGTTGGAAGTATGTTTAGGAGGTATGTGGTCATTTCTAAAGCATGATGCCAAAAAGAGATGGGCAAGGAGGCATGAGCAAGTAAGGTCCGGATGATGTTATTGATTGATTTTATGTGTCGTTCGGCTTTTCCATTTTGAGGAGATGTGTGAGGACATGAGAGACGAAACATCATGCCATGGTGATCAAAGAATTCTTTAAGAGTTCCATTAATATACTCTGTGCCATTGTCACATTGAAAAGTCTTAATGTTACGTTCAAATTGAGTTCGGACAAGTCTATGAAAGGATATGCATAAGTGTTTAACCTGAGATTTCTTTGCAATAGGAAATGTCCATAAGAATTTGCTGTAATCATCAAGGAATAAGACATAATAACAGTGGCCAGAAGAACTAGCAATGGGAGAAGTCCATAGATCACTATGAACAATATCAAAGGGAAGAGCAGTAGACGACAAAGAGTCATAAAAAGGTAACTTTGAGTGTTTCCCGAGAGGACACGAGGAGCAATAAGTTTTACAAGCCTTATTACAATCAATAAATTTTTTTACTACTTAGAGACCTAAGAACAGCAACACCAGGATGTCCTAAGCGATTATGCCAGAGATCTGAAGAAACAGCAGTAAAGGCGGAATGATTGACAGGAGAAGTGGCTTGAGTGTTTGAAAAAATTGGATAAAGGTCACCGGTACTGTCACATCTCACTAGTTTGGCTCTCGTCTGTAAATCATTCACAGAAAATCCAAAGGGATCAAATTCAACCGAAACCATATTATCAGTTGTGAACTTACGGACAGATATTAAATTCTTAATTAATTTTGGAGCATGCAACACATTGTTTAAGGTAAATGGAGGGTACGGGAAGGGCAAAGTAGTACTACCGTGACCGACAATTGGAATTAAATGTCCACTACCAACAACAATGTTATTATTTTTAATGCTCGAATTGACATAAGATGAAAGAATACCTTGGTCCACTGTCATATGAGATGTAGCTCCAGTGTCCATATAATAATTCCCATCCGGTTGCGAAATTGAGAAAGCATGCATAGCCGCCTCAATATCCGTAGGTGTGTATGAAGGGGCCATGGCACTATAAGCCTGTGGACGTTGGCCCAGAATACCTGGCCTAGGAGGCCTAGTACCGGAGGGGGTAGCAGCTGGTCTATGAGCCCATGAAGCTGCTGGATATGGGCAGGGAGGATTGGGCCATTGAGCTAGCCACGGGGTCCAGGATGCCGGCCAAGAATATTGACCCTGATGCTGCCATGTTGGTCCAGATGCCTGCCCAGATTGCTGTTGGGTTGGCCCATTAGCATTACGTCCTTTTCCAGAATTTTTGGTCTTTTTTTGCTTAGTGTTTCTGGAATTCGAACGGGAGCCGTCAGTGTTCTGCTGGGTGGTGGAGGTTGAGACAAGGACCGTCTGTGGGCGGTTGGTGGAACCTCCCTCCTTAGCTAGGCGGTTTTTGATGGTCCGCTCAGCCAATTTTAGACGAGATCGACAACTTTCGAACGAAGGCAGAGGTTCTTGATTTTGAATGAAATCCACGGTCCCGACATAAGCTTCTGGGAGCCCAGCTGTGAGCTTGAGAATGAGTCGGCTGTTGGGAATCGGAGCATCAACGTCAGCGAGACGATCGGCAAGTGATTTGATGTGATTACAATAGCCATCAATTGATGAGAAATTCTCAAAGTCGAGGTCAGCAAGCTCTTGTTCGAGATGAGAGGCTCGTGAGGCTTTATTGTCTTGAAACATAGACTCGAGACGAGCCCAAGCACCATGAGCAGTGTCGTATTTGAGAAGAATAGCATGAAGAAGATCCGTGGAAATGGTTCCATAGATCCATTGAAGGACTACAACGTCCAACCGTTTCCAAAGAGCAGGATCAGCGGCTATAGAGGCTTCATATGCAGCCTTCTCCATCGCCTCTGTAGGAGGAATAATATGATTATGGAGATCGTGAACCCTAACAAGCACCTTAAAAAGGGCGGCCCAAGAGTGATACATTCCATGATCGGCGTCCAACGTGATGGGAACAAGAGACTTAACATTGGTGATGGTCAAAGCTGGATGAAATTTTGGTGTTTCAGCCATGAAAAAAAGTAGTGCATCGGAAGAAGAAAGAAGAAAGATAGGCAGAGGAAGAAAGGAGGGCTGAATGTTAGGAGAGAAACCAAAAAATAGAAACCCTAAAGGGGTAACAAATATTATTACCAGATGGTTTAACTGCTCAATTTTAAAGGCTACTTGCTCCTTATAAATAGTTTCAAGTGTTTTTTTTTTGGTGGCTTCTTCCAAATCACTTGTTACAGCCTTAAATTGAAGCAACAAAACTAATAAGTGTACAATAACAACCAACCCATAAAAGAGATCATGTTTCAACAATACAACATATTGAGTTCTCGCCGTCTCTCTGTTTGTTATCAACTGCTACAAATCCATGTCTTCAAGCTATCCTGAACCCCATGAGGGTTGTTGTCAAACTTCCTTTGGCAAGAGAACAAAGTAAAGAGGAAGAAGTCAAACATGCTCAGTCAGTTAGTTTAACGTGTGATGTCAGCATTCTGCTACAACAATAACAACCGTAAACGGAGTGACCGATTTCTAACAAATCCCTTGTTACACATTGATGACCATTTGTTATAATTTACCCTAAATTTAATAATTATTTTATATATTTTAAAATTTTTAATTATTAAATAATCGTTTTAGTATAATTTTGCATATTAAAACCCTGCCTGAAAGAAGGAAAACTACAACAGATATCAATAGGGTGTTTACATCATATATCAGACCAGAAGAATCATACTCATATTCCCCGCCAAAAGATCCAATCCAACTTCCTCTCTATCCCAAAAAATCAGGGAAATGTCGAAACGAAAGCCCACCAGAGCCCCGGCCACCGACGATCCACCGCACCTGCAACCAGGCTCCCAAATTGAGATAAGTTCCAACGACCCTGGGTTCCGAGGTTCATGGTACACCGGCGTAGTAATCAAGCGTACTCCTTCTAAGAAACCCAACAACAAATTCGTTGTCGAGTACACCCATCTTTTCGAAGACGAGGCGGGTACTAAACCCTTGAGGGAGACCGCTGATGCTGTGGATTTACGCCCTCCGGCCCCTCGAGAAAAGGTCAGGAAATTCAAGTTTAGTGAAGAGGTGGATGCCTTTCATAATGATGGGTGGTGGGAAGGGGTGATTACTAAGGAGTTGGAGAATGGGAGGTTTCATGTTTACTTTAAGAGGTCCAAAGAGCAATTGGAGTTTGGTGAGGACCATTTGAGGCTTCATAGGGAGTGGATTGAAGGGACTTGGACTCCACCCCTGCAGGAAGATAAGCAAGTGAAAGAGGTAAATTACTATTTCTTTAGGTTTTCTAATCAGTTTGATTGTTGTAATTGGAAGTACAAAGATATAAAAAAAATGCTGAAAAGTTGGAATTTATGATTTGCTTATTGTAACTAGTTCAGAATGTTTGTAAACTGATATGTGCTACCGCTGAATATAAACTTCAATTAATATGCTATTAGAATTAGATGCAAGTTATTCGGTTTTCTTGATGAAATATTTACTCATTGAATGTACGAACTTGGAAGTCATTATATGAATTTTTTTTCTCAACATTGCTTGTAATTTCTTATCTTAGCTGTTCTAGATTTTTTGTACTTTGTGAGTAAATTGATGGATGCGTAATTAACAACAAAATAAATGTAAAAACTTTCTAGTCCAACGAAGCAGTGACTGAAGGAAAGATGGAATATGACAAAGTTGTTGCCCGAGGGAAGCTAGAGAGTGATAATACAGGAAGCAAAAAGAAGGATGATAACTCAGCAAGCAAAAAGAAGTTAAAGCCTGATTTGGCTGAGCTAGAGTGTGATAATACAGCAAGCAAAAAGAAGGGTGATAATACAACAAGCAAAAAGAAGTTAAAGTCTGATTTGGCTGAGCTACAGTGCGATAATACAGCAAGCAAAAAGAAGGGTGATAATACAAAGAGCAAAAAGAAGTTAAAGTCTGATTTAGCTGCGAATGGGAGGAAATTCGAGTCTAACAAGATAACAAAGTATCGCGAGGGGGAATGTGTTGAAGTGACCAGTGATGAAGATGGTTTTGAAGGTGCTTGGTTTACCGGAACTATTGTTAAAGCAGTGGGGAAGCACAGGTACCTAGTTCAGTACGATTGCTTGAGAACTGACGATGACACTGATTTCTTAAAAGAGGAGTTTGATGCCCTGCACATTAGGCCTTGTCCACCCGAAATTTTTATGGCCGATGCGTTCCAAAAGCTTGATGAAGTTGATGCTTTCTACCTTGATGGCTGGTGGGTGGGTGTGATTTCTAAGGTTATTAATTCTGTTTCCGAGACAAAATATGAAGTCTATTTCAAAGCTACCCAGGAGGAAATGAAGTTTAAACATGCCGAGTTAAGGATGCATCAGGACTGGATTAACGAGAAATGGGTTACTGCTTCTAAGGTATAACACTCTATCCCCCTTCAGCACGTTTGTAGATATTTGTTCTTGAATGGTGTTGCAGGAGTTTTGCCGTGTAAGCATGGTTTAGGCCATTATTCCTGAATCTTTATCAACTATTAAAAATCCGATCTCACATTCTGGCGTTTTTTTCCTAAACACCTGCAATTAACAAATTCTTGAATGGATGCATGAGAGTTTGAACGTGATTATGTACTATTGGACACGAGTCGACAATTAATAATTACACGCTTGCTAGTCAAATGATGTCAACTTTTTCCACCTTTCTGATGTAGTTAACCGTTGGTAATGCTCATAACGTGGCTTATTAAACACCAGTTCTTTTGAGTTTTGATTTGACGACTCAGGAAATGTAGTTCATGCACCAATTATGAAAGTACAAGTTCTTCCTTTTTAACTTATTTTTTGGTTGATTGTGATTTGCTTCTACTCAGGCATTGAAGTCTTAGTTACTGCAGAAGGAGAGGTAACAATACTCCGGCTTGGGGCGTTTTACGATGCAATCAAAGTAAAGCCAAATCTTTTCTGGTTTGCAGCTGTTGTATTTGGAGCTGGTGGTTGCTTGTGTAACCAATTTTAGGCATGTATAGGCATTTTTTTTAGAGACTGAAGGTAACTTAACTCGCAAGCTGAACTTGAACTAAGTAGAGCATACTAAAACATCTATATGTAGGTATGGGTAGCGTACTCTTTTCTGTCGAGGTCTCAGGGATTAATGATGCATTAGTTTATCCTACAATCTGTGCGTGGAAATCTTTCAAGGTTTAAATATGCCAAAGGTCCTACTATTTTCAAATTTAAAATTTAATCTTCATACTTTAATTTTACAATATTGTTTTTTAATATTATTTTTATATAAATATAAGTGTATATTTTTTTTGGTACAAAAAATATAAGTCAGAGGTGGCTCCCCCAGTCTAGGGTCAGGGTATACCTAAGACCTAATTGGGATTTACATAGGACTTTACAGATTGCTCAAATTTTTGAATCACAACCACTTCTGCCAACACTAATTGGCAAATATAAGTGTGTATATATATATATATAAGTATCTGGAAATAAATATATAACGAAACAAATCGTTATCATCATGTATGCATATCAAAAGAAAAACAATATATTCACATGTTCCATACTAATTATTTTGTTAAAAACTAAATTTTTTAAGCAAAAATAATATAAAGGTTCATAACATATCTAAATTAATTAAATGTAGGTTGTTCAAACATCAAAATAGAGTTGTCCATTTTTAACTTAAAGGTTAGGACTTTATTGCAGTAATAAATTTTGTTGTTAAAACCGTACTTTGAAAATCCAAACAAGAAGCTAAAAAAATTATGGTTTCTGCAATTATGGAAACTTATACTGTTATACAACATTTTTCCACAGAAATATTGAAGAAATAATCATGTATTTTGTTTGGCTTAGACTAAATAAACGATTAACAAAGAAGAAACTTGAACATTGGCAGCCCCTCTCATAATCTTCTCATTGAAAACAGAGTATAATTGTAAAACATAAATAGGAACACCTCCTTCTTCTTTATTATTAATTGCTGCTAATGATATTCATAGATATGTAAAACATAAACAAGTGGCCACTCTCTCTAGACCTCCTCCACTTCCACAGCAGCAGCTGTAGCAGCATTATTCACTTCTTTTTCTTCATTCTTTTTCTCCTTAACAACTTCGCCTTCGATCTCGAAAGCCGATATAGGGAAAGTCCTGAAAAGCCCTGAAGGGGTCTTGAAAGTGATCTTCCCAGTGGGAGGATCGTCCACGTAGATATCACTCAGTGTGATCCAAACCAACAGCTCCTTCGTCTTCACCCCTGTCAGCTTCTTTATCTTGTTCTTCTCGACCACAGCCGTCACCTCCGTCGCGTAGGACACGAGCTTCCCGATCTTTTCAAACTTGTGGGTGATGCTCTTCTTCTGTTTCAGCCACACGAAGCCCGTGTCCTTCACGTACCCGCATTCTTCGATGTCTTTCAAAGGCAAAAGACCCCTCGGCATCCCTATTTCCTCCAGCAAAAACTTCGACTTCTCTTGGCACATCTCGTCGCCATGGTAAATCTCTGATGCACTGGCTTTTATCTCTTCGGTCACAAGAGACATCTTCGCTTTCAAACTTCAGTCGTCGAGCCCACAAAGAGGATTACTGTCAATGACGAGTGTTGTAACACCTAGACGCACTCTGTCTTGATATAGTTGTCGAGCTATTTTTTCACCCTTCTGGGCACCCAAATATTTCCACAATGCCATTCTAGCAAAGCTAAATAGCCAATAGCCCGATATAATTCTGGTTTTAGTCCCTCCCGTTACTATGGAATTTAAATTTTAAATCCTTTAATTTGAAATCTAAAACCTTTTTCAACTTAAACTTACTAAAAACACTATAAAAGTAGGGTGATTAAAACAGAATTAGACCCAAATAGCGTAAACGGCCTAAAATAGGCATGCATTCCGGACCCTGGTTATGGTTAGTCAACTCAAGGCTGGATTTGAGGTTTGGGTTTAGCTATAATGTTTAGTTGCTTAGGTGAACCAACAGCTGAGAGCAGGCTAAGTTTCTGCCGAACTACCCCTCTTGGATTGTATTTATGATGCGGTTGGGGGAATTTATTGCACAAATTTATGGGAGGATAAATAGGAGGGGTTGCCAATGGGGATGTGCCATGTGTTAATAGGTAGTTGCCAATACATTGATTTGAGTACCATATCAAGCTGTACATGATTAAGTTGTTTAAAACTTTACTATCTTAATGGTTCTTGATGAAACTTGCAAATTCATAGATGTTGAAGCTTTATTTGTAGAGTTGCACAATATTAGGGGAAAACTTGCCACTTTCATATGTATTCTGAATTCCCCTCATCTCCAAAACAAAACTAAAATTACATCTAAGATACGTATCTGGGTGGTAGGAGTGACTTAACTTTTGTTCTCTTTGTGATTTTGGCGACAAACTATGGACCAATTTTTTTGCAGATTTGAGTTGAAGTTTTGTAGCCCTGTCATGTTAATTGGTCTGTGTGTTGCTGGACAGATATGATGAGCTGAGTTCAAGTTCATGGCAGGAGAAAGTCTTTGAAGACTATCATCGTTCGGCTTTGGATAACCTAATGTTGTTATATTTACTATATTTGGTAGGAGAGAAATGATAGATTACATAGAGTTAGATCCTGACAAATTGATCATGTTATCCTACAGTACAGATTAAACATGCTGTCAGATTGAGGTTGACGTGGGTGTACAAAGGTTACCCTTCCCTCCCCCGCTCTTGCTGCATAGTGTTGGACTTGCTATAGTTTTTCTTGTTTGTTTAAATCTCATTTATAGGAGTTGATTTATTTACTTTTCCTTGGTTGTAAATGCATTGTATAGAGGATGTTTTTTTTTATGAATAAAACTAACATTTATAAAAATAAAATAAAAAAAGAATTGAAGGAGTTGTCACAGTGGTAAAATGAAGGGTTATTTCCCCCAAGTGGTTCAGGCATATTTGAGTGATTATACGACAACAAATAGTAACTCCAAAATAGATATCTATACTCTTCAGAATAGATCCAAGCTTGGAATTTATCTGATCACAATTCAGTACTCCCTAACAGAAACTTCCATGCAGTGGCATCAGCATGAAAAAAGTTATGCTAAAAAGTTTAGATCGGATTACTAAATTTAAAGAGGGGCTTAAAACAACATTTCACCATTTTTCCCAGGGGATCAATTCTTGCCGATTAATGACATAAGAGGATCCCTACAACTTGGTGAATCACCAGCAACATTGCCTAACTGTGCAAGAAAAAGATGTTATTGTTGTCGAGGCCTGCAAAAAGTTCATACAGGATAACTCAATAAGGGAAGTACAAGATAAAGAGAAGCATATAGTGATTCATATACTTATTATAAGACGATCCTTCCAATTTAATTTACTCTATTCATAATAATAAAATTTAAATTCATGACATTATTTATTTAAAGGGTTTAGCGTCTTTCCCATTAGATCAATTGATAGTTGTTTATCTGTTCTCGGTGGCATTGAATGGTGGCGTTTTGGACATTTTTTTACTGTATGTATGGGACGAAAATGAACAGTTCAAAGACTGAACTGTTTACTGCAGACCTATCTGACTCTGAATTGCAGCAAATAGTAGAGAGAGGAGATATCAAACTTGGTTCTTTACCTGTCAGATATTTAGGAATTCTTCTCTGTGTCTACAAATCTTAGAGCTAGTGATTGTAAAACTCTTTATAGAGAAGATTACTGAAAGGACAAGGGGTTGAATTGTCAAGTTTGTTTCCTTTGCTGGAAGATTACAGCTGATTCAGTCTTTAATCTTTATTATTCATATCTTTAAGTATGTTTGTATCGTCTGTTGTTTGATAATCACACGATCTCGACTATATTTGAAATCAAATTATATCAAACTTCTAAATTAAAACAAAAGATTTGAGTCCGATAACTTATTTAAAGGGTATCAAAAATTTTACATTCGACACAACATGCATCGGTGTTTCTTTTCTTCTTCTTTATGTTTTTTTGATCTTATTATCCTATATGAACATTACAACTTTTTATATATACATAAACGGCTAGTTTTATTAAAAAAAATATTTAAATTATAATAAAGATTTACGATCACAATCGTAAATTATAGACATTTTTCAATAATCAATAGGATAAAAAACTAGTTATTTAAGATCACACGAGAACCATACAAAGAAAATGTTAAAAAATCTAACCAAACAAACTCGAACAAAAGGTAGATACGAATAAATCTGACTGCAATAACAAACGAATCACAAAAGGGGATCAAGTTATTGAAAGAAAACCGGCAAATTGTAAATCGGAGTTGAGTGACGTGAAAAAATTTATCCACGAACGTAAATCTCGTATCCAAATCTAATCCAAGAGTCCAAAGCAGAGAATATCAGTATGATAACAAATAACTGTCATCTTAATCAGTTGTGACAATGCCAAATCTAACTCTAAAAAAAATAAACGAAAATAACGACCGAAAACGTGCCAAAAGACAGAGAAAACATATCATTAAAACAAAGTTATTATTAAAAGAAAAAATTAAAGATATACTATAATAAAATAAAGAAAAACCAATGAACCCAACTGTTGATGATCATTATTAAAATTGATATTGTCACCGATCATAAAAATGAAGAAAAATGACTAAAAAAAGGGAGAAAAAAAAAGGATGACGATCCTTTACACTCGTTACACTTTTTAAATAAAGTTAAAAAATGAGAAGAAAACACAAATTTAATTAGCATTCTAAAATTATGATATTCAATGGTCTTAGTGCGTGTATATATAATTTCCAAATGACTTAACAAGGCAAGTGGTCCTTTCATTTATGACCACCTTATATGACCAAGTTGCAATTGGGGACTCTCCCAAGAAGGCCAATACTTGTTTTGATGGGGATGCCACTTTGAGCAGCCCTCGTGCTCTAATCCCAAAATCAGACAGCTCGTCTTTCATGGTTATCACACGTGGTAGCCACTATATGCCAAAATGACATTCTTTAGAGGGGTGGTTTGGTATATGGAGTATAATATTATAATTAGGAATGAAATTAATGGAATATCACGTTACTTAATACATTATTGAAGATGTTGTATTATCTTATTTATATTATATTATCTTGTTTGGTTTATTTGACATAGACGTAAGATTACGATATTTAGTTGTAAAAATATTAGATAAAAAATAAATTTGAAATTCGAAAAATCGAACTGAACCTAATCAAATTGAAAATCGTGATTTTTATATTATTCCATTTTGATTTCAAATTTTGAAAACTCGTAAAGTACAATTCGATTCATATTTTATTAAAAAATCGAATCGAATCGAACTGAATACACTCCAAAGTAAATATTAATGTCGCTATAGTATGTTGAATTCAATTCAAACCTAGTTTTAGAATACTTTGGAAATGTAGAATTGTTTGTGCGTATTGGGAACTATTGTAATTCAATTTTCAACTCTAAAGATAAAGGTAAAGCTTCCTCTTTAGTATTTTTTGTTCTTATCGTATTTATAACCCATTTGATGTGTCAAAAATTATATTTATACTCTCTCTTTTCTTAAGATGGTCAATAATGTCATAGTTGAATAATTACATGACATGTGATACTATTTTTATACATTGTAGTTTATAAACGAAAATCATGTTTTAGAATTCAAAGTAATGAATGGAGGTCAAAATTTGCTTCTTTTAAATGGGTCTAATGTTCTGGGTAGGGGGTGGTTCATGGGCACATGCAAGGCACTTGAAAATGTAGGGCCATGGAGTCACATGGTGGTGCTTCTTACAAGGTTCAAGGCCACACTGCGAGGCCTGTTTTTGCTCATAAAAATCACCACCCGATTCATTCGCTCTATTCTCTATTCTTTCCTTTATGCAAATACAACACGTGTTTTAGGCTTTATTTCTTACAAATATCTCAATCTTTGTCGGAAACCCCAAATCTCCACCCCCCTTCCTTTGCCGACACAAACTTCGTTTATTTCTCCCTTTGATTGCATTTCATACAATTAAATCAATATATATATATAGGTATGACTCCTAAGCCCCAATTGATTGATTGATTAATTAAAAGCAATAAAAAAGACGTAATTAACGTTTAACAAATTTGATTAGCTAGAAAAGACTTGCATTTGACTTTTTTTTTAAAAAAAAAAGAAAAACACTCTACTATTTTGATGTACTAAAGTCACAAGTTTTTGTATCGTTCATATCTAAATGTTATTTATTTGATTGAGACCCATAAATTTGGTTTACATGATACTTTTAAAATTGTAAATTTTAACATTGATAACCGTGTTTAACTTTTTCCGTTACGATTTTTTTAAACAGGTAATTGTTTAATTATGAAATGTATTTCGTTTTTACTAATGAAGATTAAATTGTTTATCTCACCATTACAAGATAATACGATCTATCTTAAATTTTAATTTAATTCATATATATATATATATATATATATATATATTGATTTAATTGTATGAAATGCAAGCAAAGGAAGAAATAAAACTTTTTATGAAATGCAAACATAACATATGATATTTATAAAAGTTAGATGGAATCATCAATGATATTCAAATCTTAATAAAATTAAAGTACTAACAAATATTTAATTAATTGAACGAACCCATATTAGTCAACATATAAATTATTAAATGTGTGAAAATTAAGCAAAAAATATATACTCTCTAATAAATTTTAAATAAGTAACGTTCTTTATATCATTTTCATAATTTTTTTTTGAAAGATTTTCATAATTATTTAAATTCAAAGATATTTGTGTTTTGTTTTCGTGGCCTTGTAAAATAACTGATTACCCATAAAATGATAAAAAAAATATTACTTAACTAAAAATTGTGCTTCCCCAAACCTAAAAAACAAAAAACAAAATTTAATATATATATTAAAAAAGGAAGACATAACTGGAATACGATAAAATACATGAATGTAAGAACCTCACTAAAAAAACAAAGTTTCAAAAAAAACAATATAAATTATAAATAGAATAATAACCACCTTTTTTTTGTCGATTTCACGAGTTGACATTGGAGCCGAGCCGATCAGCCGACGGCTGTGCTCCACCGTCATTGCCGACGGCGAGGAACTCGGTAATTGCTGTCATGGCTCGAACTTGCATCTCTAAAGCCGCTATGTAATCGCTAGTTTCCTCTAGAAGGTTAGAGAAAGATAGTCTTCGGCAACCGGGGACAAGACGTCCCAAAACCAACAGCTTTCTCTCAACGACCGGCAATTTTCTCCTCTCTTTGTTACTCGCCGGCTTCCTCAACTTCCTATTGGCGCTGACCTTCGCTTTCTTATGTTTCCTCACCTTGGCACTGAGTCGACCGATGAGAATCGCTCTGCTCCAACGCGTCGTTCCCTTGGCCGAGACGGCGAGGACTCTGTACGCCGTGTCACGAACATCTTTGCCGTTAACGGAAGAGGAGGTCCGAGTAGAACGACGACGGAGAGCTTCAATGAGCTTGGAGGAGTATATCTGTTGCTCTCGTCCTGTTCTCCATCGATTCATCCTTTGGTTGCCTTGCATACGATGATAAGAGGACGGTTTTCCTTCGATTTTCCTCCGTTTCTTCCGTTGAAAATCCGGTGATATCTCAGGGCTTGGATCGAGTTCTGGTAGTGGTAAGAAAGAAGCCATTGGTTAGTAGTAAAACTGCAGAAAAAATGGTGGGAGGAAAGAGACGAAGAAGACGAAAAAAGAGTTTTTGATTTATCTCTTGGTTTTGGGAGGACAGATTCAATTTATTACATTTTGTATATTAATAAAAATATTTTATTGATTCTTACGAAATTTTTAATATCCATAACGAAGCTAGTAAATGACACATTTTCATATAAAATATTGAACTCTTTGTCGTTTAATTATATTGAATTATTAACAAAGATATCAAATAATAGATAGGGTATTTTGTTTTTCACGTGATATAATTTTTAAAAATTTACTTATTTATAATTATATAATTTTTTTTAAAAATATAATAAAATTATAAATTGGTTTAATGAAAAAGAAAGTAGTTCTTCAAATAAGATCAATGTTTAAATCGTTGTGAATGAAAAAGAAAGTAGTTTTGAGACGATTTTTTATTTAATCATTAATATTTAATTTATTGATTGAGTAATTTAAATAGTGTGTCGTAAATGTTTATTATGAGGTTAACTCTTTTATAGTTTACTTCATTCATAATGTTTAAATTAATAAAATAATCCATATATACATATAATATTCGGTTCAAATTAATTGATCAATAAATTAAATATCATTTATTATAAAAATATCATTTATTTTTTTAAAAGGAAATGATAAATTATCTATTAAATTTAATTCATATAATATTATTATTGATACAACATACACTAAATCAAGTATGTTTATTTTTTAAAAGAAAAAAGGCGTCCTAAATTGCTTATTTATTTTTAATTCGCATTAATGTGAATGCTCACAAAGAATTCGTGACCTTACCGACTTTTTAATTCATCCCCGATCCAAGGTAAGGTACTTGAATTCAGGAGTCATGTTTCTAAAAAAAACATAAATTAATTTATCTAAGCAATTAAAAGAATTGTTGTTATTCTTAGAGATCATGAATTCAAGCATCAACGATTACAAGGGTGATACCAATAATTATAAAGATGATTAAACATTCTTTATCAAATAATTAAAAACAAGGGCGGACCTCCATGGAGCCCGGGGTATCCCGGGCAACCCCTCATCCAGGGGTGGACCTACGTGGAGCCGGGGTATCTCGGGCAACCCCTCATCCAGGGGTGACCTCCATGGTGCCCGAGGTATCCCAAGCAACCCCTCCACAAGTGCCACCCTTAATCCAAGTGTCACCCCTAATCCAAGTGTCACCCCTGAGGCTCTTGCAACCCCTTACGAAGGCTCCTGGGTTCGCCTATGATTAAAAATATTTAAAACATATAATACTATATAATCACTTGTAGCTTAATAAAAAAATAAAAAAAAATCACTACTAGGCATTCCTTATCTTTGATTTATGGGATCATCATTAATTTGATCTCTCACTTTCAGTAATTATGATTTAATAGTTAGTAACCTTAAATAGCAGAATAATTACAAGATAAGCATCGATAAATATGTAGTGAGCTAACTTAAAGTTTTGCATTCTTATCATATTTCACTCAATTTCAATAATTATGATTGATATATATAGTGGGTCCATATTCCACTTAACTTGAAGGTATTATAATTTGGTAATAACCCTTCACAATAAATTAATTTAAGGTAAAATTAAAAAGAAAAATAAATAAATTATTTCAAATTTATTTCATTTGACTTAACATATTTTTCTATAAAAAAAACATCCCACAACGTTATAGCAATGAATGAGGTGTCTTGACATATCAAAATTTAATACTATTAAATCTGAATATCAATTAAAAGATATAACATAAAAATTTAAAATAAACATTAAACATTTAAAAGATATAAATAACCCATTAAAAATTTTAATATAAAATAAAAAACAATCAAATTCTCACATCATCCTAACTATAAAAGGAATGATATATGTTCCAATAATATCCAATATACATGGCATGTTATTTCAGTCATCTTAACTTGCCTACAAAGAAAACAAAGGTTCAAACTCCAATAGCAATTAGGTCATTAAAAATGTTTAAATTCAGTATTAATCGAATACATATTTAAATGTATTTAAACTCACACTTTTTAAAGTGTTATAAAAAACAATAAAACCAATCAAATGTAATTTAATTAAAAGATGTTAGAAATTAAAAAAAAAACAAAATAATTTATAAACTTATAAATAATAAAATTCGAACCTCAAACTTACTAAATATTATATATAAAAACAAATCCACGGCCAACTAATTAGTTTAAATCCATAATTTAATTTAGTGCTAATTGAATGGGGTTGAATATGTGGAAACATTGTATTGGATAATGAAGAAAGTAACTAATTATTGGCTAATGGGATTTGTTCATGTTATTAGCAATCATCAATTGGGGATTGCACAAAGGTTTTTTTTTTTTTTTTGGATAAACACAAAGAAAGGGTTATAGGAAAGAGAAAGGGATCGTGTTGTTGTGTTGATTGCACTTTCTTTATATATTTATTTATTTGTTTGTGGAGTTTATTATTGCTCACCTTCTCTTGTGAGTTGTGGACAGGTTTCACCCACATTGCCTTTCTAGTATCTGTCCTTAATGGAGAAGCATTTAAGGGTCTGGCTAAGGAATTTTGATAATTCTTTTGAAATGTATTATATATAAAATACTTTTAGAATATTATTATGTGATTTATAATATAGTTAGAGTTTTTATTAAGAGATACAACGTATTGATGTAATGGTACGACAAACACAACTTTATTAGGTCATAAGTAGCGTTTAACAGAGAGCAATTCCAATAATTTTATACCTTTGTTGTACAAGATATGGAAAGCTTAACAAGACAAGACTTATTGATTAATTGTACATAACCAGATTTTAATATTGGTTTAGAAATGAAAATCTGAGAGAGAATCTGAATTCCGATGAGACAGTGGGGCTGCCTCCTTGTGTGAGACAACCAAGCCAAGTTAGTTCAACTTTCAATGTCATCACGTACAAAAGTCAATCCCTCGTATTTATACGGGTAATATATATTTTAATATATAAATTTGAATTTAATGTTTAAATTAATATTTAATCATTTTCTAATTCGGTATCAAAATCTATTTTTTAATTTAAATTGATACTTAAATTATTTTTTATTTAATTAGATATTTATAATTTTAAATCAATACGAATCAAAAAGTTAAATTTATTTATCAATTTAAATAAAAAATCGAAATTAAACATTTAATTAGACAAAAAAAATTAACTAACAAATTGAATCATTGTTTAAGTGAACCCCATGATTAGAAAAGACAAACGAGGTTTGATTATAACTGTGTTGCATTGTTCCGTAAGATGGGTTTCCCAAATTAATTAACAAAAAATGATTAATATTATCCTAATGAAATGGCAGGGAGAAAGAGATAAACATTAGATTACGTGAAAATAAATGCGGTTTAGGGTGTCAATCCCCATTCTATATCATAAGTTATAACAATAATTAACCTAGTTTAAAGATAATATTTAATATGAATATATTTATTTATTTATAATCATAGATCCAACATATATATATATCGAATTATTTATATATTTGATATTTTTATATCATATTTAAATATGATATAATAATATAGTTGTTAAAATAGACAATTTAACGTGTATGATAAAATGAGTATAAAATCGACTAATAATCAGTTGGTCTAATGGGAAGAAACACTAAGTTGAGAGGGTTGCCATTGCTTCTGTAGTACTCGATTAGTCGATCAGTAGATCAGATACCGATAATTATATATATAAGAATATAGAATCGATGTGTTTATATTGTGACGTGGGCTTTGGATATTTATTTCAGTTACATAGAATTAGAACCATAAATGTATGTAAACGCAGTGAAAACTTACCATAACTATCTTCAGCTGGCCTGGCTGGTATATAGAATGGATGTGTTTATTTCCTAATTTGAGCCACACGAATTACCCAAAACATAAGGAAGGAAAGACCTGTAAATTTGAGTTTTTGAAAATAATTTAATGAAGTCTTCAAACTTTATTCTATTTATCTAATTGAACACTTAAATTAAGAAATTGAATCAATTAAATTATCAAACATAGAAATTCAACCAACTAAGTCATTTGATTTCTATTATGGGACGCACTACGATTTTGTCAAATGAAATTTATAGATTTTTTAAAGAAAAATTATTAGATTTCTAGAAATGTCACTTGATAGTACTATGATATGAAATATGACATCAACTAATCTAAAAAATTATTAGATTCAATGGTCAACATCGGTCGTGAAATTTTGAAGTGTACAAGGACTTAGTTGGATGAAAAAAATTATAGGAGTTCAATTATTTCTTTTCTCCAAAAGTTTGAGAGCTTCATGTATCCTTAAGCAGTTAAGCATATAAATTTCCAATTCAACCATAATCTTAAATTGGATCTGAATTTATTCTTGGCGATACATTCAAAATGCAGCTTTTTAATTTCTTTCTCCCGAGTTTATTGCTGGTTTTAGCCCTTTTCATGTTAACCAAGGCAGATGATCAAGTTAGACCAATCAAATATGCAATTAGCAAGAGTATCATAGTTGATCAATCAGGCCATGGCAGTTTCACCAATATTCAAACTGCCATTGATTCCATTCCATCAAACAACCATATTTGGACATTTGTTCATGTTAAACCCGGCATCTACTAGTAATTACAGCTCAAACTCTTTCACACGCACTATATATAGCTCTAATATTGTTGTGCTTCAGTCTGTTTAGTGAAAAGTTGAATATCCCTAGAGATAAACCAAAGATTCTTCTTCAAGGAGAGTCGAGACGAGTGACTATTATCCAGTTTGGAGATGGAGGTGATTCCATTCAAAGTTCTACTTTTTCTTCGAATGCACAAGATTTTGTTGCCATGGATATAACATTCAAGGCCCGAATACCTTTATCCTTTTTGCATGTTATAATTCAAGCTATTGATGTTGAAACTGATAACCTTTTTTTTTGACAGAGTACTTACAATCTTGATCCTGGAAAACCATTTACATGGCCACCGGCAGCTCGGATCAATGCAGACAAGGCATCGTTTTATCGATGCGGGTTTGTAAGTGTGCAGGGTACGTTGACAGATTCCGAAGATCGTCACTACTTTGAGAATTGCTATATCGAAGGCGCTTTGGATTTTATATGGGACAATGGGAGATCAATTTACCATGTAAGTAGGTGTTTCACCGCTTGATTCTCTCTTTTGTCTCTAAATCATTTATATTTACACTCGAATTTCATGTAGGAATGCAAGATAAATGTAACAGCAATATCAGAAGGTGTGCCCGGTTATATCACCGCTCAAGCTCGAGATAGCACGGCTGATAACAGCGGTTTCATGTTCAAACACGGTTTGATCTTCGGAACCGGTTCTGCTTATCTAGGAAGAGCATATAGGCCTTATGCCAAAGTATTATTTCACCGCACAAAGATGTCTGATGTAATTGTTGCACAGGGTTGGTCAGCATGGGATTATGTTGGCAGAGAGTAAGATTTTTGGGCTTGGAACAATCTTTTGTTATATCTTTATCAGAATTAGTGAATCAATTAATCAAGCATTGTTGTTTGAAAATATTGTGTAGAAATACTATAGTTTATGCAGAGGTAGACTGTAAAGAACCTGGAGCAGACAAGCTCAAGCGTGTGCCATGGGAGAAAAACTTGTCCCCCGAGGATTTGAGACATTTACTAAATCGCGACACTTTCATAAACCAAGGAGGATGGATCCAAAGACTGAGGCCAAGACAGTCCCTTAAAACATGTTTCTTATATATATGTGTGTGTGTGTGTGTCAGCAAAATAGATCCTATAACTTTCTTTTTAACCACAATATTGTAAACCCTTTCAGCTGAAGAAATCAATGATCGATGTAGTAAGATCAGGCTGAACTGGAAGTTCTAATTTATTAATACTTGATATTAAAAGTCAGAATATCCATGGTCGATAACTTGTAGATAAGCAGAAAATCAAATGAAAATTAAGCATATTGAGGATAAACTAATCAAGAGAGTTTCTCCTCAATGTCGATTTCCTCCATCAGGTTGACATGGTTGAGTAAGGGATCGAACATTTCAATGTCCAAAAACTTGTTGGGAACTTTTGTTGGGGCAAGAGGGTTGTCCGCGTTGTGTTTTGTAGTTGGAACTTTACGGGCAACGACCACGGAATTTATAACTTCATCGGTTGGATGGAATATGGAGAGGACGTCGAATCCTCTTAGATCACAAGGATCGACAACCGGATAAAGGAAAGCCCTAGCGCCATGCGCACTCCTGACCATCAAAAGAGCCCCAGGGGCCATGTACTTAGCCAAATGATCCACGACTCGAACTTTCGCATCCTTATCCATCCCAACAAGAGCTGCCAAGAAAACGAGATCATAGTCTCGCAAAGCATCCGTAACATCCATTATGTCCGTGGTGTGGAAAAACATCCGTCGAGACAAATCAGGGCCGGAGGAGACTAATCGAACAGCCTTGGCATTGGCAGAAGGGTCAATATCGTAGTTATGGAAACGAGTGGTAGTAAGATGGGAAGAAGCCAACACAATCGAAGTGAGGGGAAGGGGACCAGAACCCACAAAGGCAACGTTGTTAGGGACATGTTCGGAGCAATGTTTGGTAAGAATGTCAAATTCGAGTTGTCCCAGTTTGAGATAGTTGGAATAGTAAGGGAAAATGTTGAGATGGTGAAGAGGGTTTGTGTAGGATGCTAAGATGGTGGAGAAATGGCTCTCCAAGTGACCCTCGGCTTCTCCACATAGTCGGATCAACTTGGACCTGGTTTCTTGAATTTTCATGCAAAGCTTGGTGACATCAATTAGGCTGGGTGGCATGCATGTGAGGACGAGCTGTGTGAAGAGCATGTTGACATCTTCGGATGGTTTGAGACTCTCGAGGCTTGAGATTTGGTCATACAACTCGCAGATTTTTTGTACTAATTGATCTTTCTCGCAAACCATGTCGACACTATGAGGTTATGGACAACACTCAAATTTCTTTCAAAGTTAATTTCCAAAGGAAATATGTAGAGGGGGTGAAATGATTTTAACCCTTGAGAGTGCTGGGTAGAGATTCACAATCTCACTACCTCCAATGGGGTTCTTATTTATGGGCAACTGCGGCGACCCCATAATGCTTAGGGTTCTATTGTTTTTGATAGGGTCAACTACATTCATGGTCACTAAACTTTAAAAATATACATTACCATCATCAATTTTTTAATTCACTTTAATTTATTACCATCATTTTCATTAGCCGTCTTTAATAAAAACTGACATGGCAGGTTGAAGTCTTCTTGCCAAGAAAGCTTAAGGTTCTAAATTGAAAACCCTCCTAAAGATCAAGTTTCTAATGAACAAAACGGTCGTTAGTCAATCTCAACGGTGAAAAGACTCTTTTTTATCAAAACATTAACATAGTTTGGTTTCAAGTTGATCTCACTTTTGACAACAACAAATTAAAATGTTTTTACATTTTAGTTTTAATTAAGATTTGAAGGTTTTTCCGAAGAGTTTGAACTGAATGAAACAAAGAGATTAAGAAAATGAGTAGTTTGATGGTCCTTTCGACTATAAAAACTATCAAATGACGACGAAAGGAGTAACAATGACAGCTAGTTTTTTAAGGTTTTTAACATGACTAATCGGCCTCCATTAAAGGTTTAACGGCTCAATAACTAAAATAAAATTTATTCATAACGATAATGACTTCAATAAATGTTTTTCCGATTTCAATGACTAAAATAAAAGTACACTAAACCCTATATATAATGCATAATTTTCATTTCACCACCCCTTTAGCAATATCATGAGCTTGTAGAAAGTAGCATGAAAACATTATATCTATACATCAACCTTTTCCAGTAACATATAGGGACATCTGCAAATTGTAACAAATTAGTTGAATTTAAATTTTGATTTTTGACAGAAATAAAATCTATCTCAGTATGAACTGAGCATGCATATCACTGTTATGCAAATTACAATGATGAGAATACTCTGTTATTATTATTATCATTATTATTGATCATACTTTATGCAAATTTCCATGACACCCCCTATTCTGCTTATAATGGCAATAGAAACTTGGTCACTGGTTTTGTCAAATCTTGCTCTTTTATATGCATATATAAATTTAATTTCAAGCCGCCTCCCATGATCAATATTAGAACTTGAGAGATAAAATTCAAGACATGTAATCGATACATTATCTGTAAAATATTTTAATTTTATAATAACGTTTAAATACTGATATACAGTTTAATCCATAAACTTTAAGTTTTAAAATATTCAATACATTAGTGTCTAAATATTATCATATGTCTTAAATCTTAAACCCTAAACTTTAAACATTTAACCCTTAATCCATAGACCAACCATAAACACCCCAACTCTTAATATCACATACCATCCATTCAACTTTGCTTATGAAGATTTTATTAGAGAATATATATATACTCACTCCATATATATATATATATATATATTTATTCGATTATTATATTCAAATTCTAGTAATATATAATCTTCAAAACCGAGATGGCCACTTGAAGAAGGGGAATCAGTATGTTGACATTTTAACGCCATGGAAAGGAAATTCCTTTATGAATATAAAAATGAAACCCTAGCTTTTGTGAGTGAGATCAAACGTATATAGTACAAGCTAGTGGTTCCTTTTGTTTGAATTAAAAATAATATTGTGGTGATGCCCTTTGAATTGAATGGTGAGAATGAATTGGTGTTAAAGTGAGATGCATGTGATACCCCTATCATTGCACTGCTCCTCCTTTCGGCCTTGGGAATTTTCTCCGTTGTTGAAGGTGCCCTTACACGTTTAGCCTTTTCATCCATGGCTGTTTCAACTTTGTAGCCACTTGATTCAGCATGAAATTTCTTTTACGTTTTCATTAATAATCAATGATTGTACCCTCCATTTTCATTTTTAAACAATATTTTTTAACAGTCTATTTTGCTTTTTTATTTATAATTCGAGTTATATGAATTTTAAAAATAAAAAATATTAATATTATATTCAAGAAAACTCGTTAATGAGATGATGCACTATAATTTTAAGCAATGAAATAAGGGTTTAAAAGGAAAGGTGGCACTACGGAAATCTACATGTACTTGAACAGTTAAGTGTGTCGACATTCAGAGCACAATATATATATATATATATATAATTTATCATAAACTATTATCCTTTTAATTTGTTGTGTATAAATTATTGAATTTTAAATAAATAATGCGACGAAGATTTAACAATAAAATTGAATTAAAATAACTTTTCAATTGTGATTAAATTTTGATATATATTAAAACAGGGACTAATTACTCGAATTTCATAAAGTGAAAGATGAAATTCATATAGTTATTGCGGTGGATCCAAATGGGAGGGGAATTTCGATAAAGAAGAATGAAAGTGATGAACAGTAGGCCTAGTAAGCAACCGCGACTACTCGACGTCGAAATTGCGGTGGACACCGTTTTGGTGGGGGCGTCTTAGCTTTTCAACTGCCTTGGGGGTTGGTTGACACTCCAACTTGTACACACAAATGATTCAACTTGTTCATCTATATTGCTTTGTTTAATACAAACACTATATGCCACTGGGGCTTTCTTATCTTAATTGTGAAAAGGTGGGTCTCGTATTAACCAATAAGTTCTAAATCATAACAGTTACTTTTAATCATTTTCATATTAGGGTGGGATTCCCTTTTAACGGGCTAAAGGAATCGACCCATCAAGGGGAAAATATTGTTTAAAGATCAAATACATGAAATCCCATATAAATTAGTATTAAAAAATTTATTTCATGCATTGACCGTCTGTTAACACCTCCTTTCTCTCTCAGGTTGTGGAATCAATATTCATTAGGAGTAAAATCCCACTTTCTCTCCTCCTAAGTAGAGATTGTTTAAAAGAAAAATTAAAATTATAGGTTTAAGACAGATTTAATTGGACACTCGATATCAAATTACATCAACTGGATAATTACCAACTCTGACATTATATCTAAATATACTCATTGGTACTATATATATTGATCCAACTTGAACCAAAGCAATTCGAAATGACTCGACTTTTGAACTAATTTGATCCAAAGTGGTTACCTCTGAGCTATAAATTTCATGGTTTATGCTGTTGTAGTTGGCTTGGACTCCTTTAGCATCTAAGGTATCTATTAAACAGTAAAGAATGAATCTCTAGCAACAAATTTCTTCATTTTCTTGTGGCCACAAGAGGATCTAACAACTGTATATCCAACACTGTAAGATAAAAAAGAACAATATATCAAGTGATTCAAGAATTACTAACTAATGAATCGAGTATCTATACGTGGGAATTCGGCAACTGAATTTCAGTTTCTTTTGATCATATACATGTTCACCTGAATTAAGAAAAAGTAACATCCTGACCTTACAATTTAGTCAGCACAAAGTAGAACTTTCTTCTGATTCAGAGCTCTCATCCCACGGAGATTCGTATTCATTTGAATTATCTTTAACATAGGAATCCTCCGAAACTTCTGATTTTTCATAAACAGAAGCCTCGTGGTTTTCACCTTCTTGTGATTCGGATATCTCATCAGGTGAAGATTCATATGCATCAGAATTTCCGAAAACATAGGAATCCTCTGAAGCTTCTGATCTTTCATAAGTCGGAGCATCGTGACTTTCACTTTCCTTGCTTTGAACAATTTGAAGCACGAAATGCACTCCGTTGACCACGTCATAAACCATCAGTCCGATCCTACCACCAATCCAACTCCCCAAATGACTTCCCACAAGATAACCGACCCTCCCGAGCCTTTGCTCACCGAGAAAACCACCACCATAGGCACCGAACAATGTGCCTGTACCCCTTAGAAATCCTTCAGCAATCGTACCGCCATAGTATATAGCTTCGAAAAAGTCCCAACCAGAGGCAATAATAGGACCTATAATGCGCTTGGCTTGGCGTGTTGCCAACTTTGCCGCCTTTTTCCCTTCTGTTTGTGCTAGTTTCGCTGCTTCTTTAGCAGCCATGCCCTGCGACACTGCATCTTCTATCGCCCTCTCGATCGCGACATTCCTTGCTCTCTCAACATGAGTAGATCTAATGTTATAGAAATATAGCTTCACGCCCTCCTTTACCACGCAAGCTACGGAACCAGAGCCCATATCGAAGCAATTTAACAAAGTAAATTGACCACTTCGGGATGATGCCTCCTCTCCAACCAGCTGCCTACATTTTTCAGCTACAAGAACAAATAAAATTAAATTAATGTAAAAATTTTATACAACAGAGTAGACTAAGGCAAAAATAATGCAATTAAATGCGTGGAGAGCAGATAATGGCATAATCTCAGTATAAACCCTCAAATAACACATAAAACCCCAAGAGGAAAAAAGGGCCATTACCCAGTTTAGAGAACACCCAAATTATTCTATAAGAGTTACCAAACAAAAAAGAAGAATAACATAACTTGAATCCGCAATTAAGATCGAACTTTTATGATCCGCAACCCACGGTAATCAAATAAACAAAAAAAAAGGTAAATGAAACGTGAGTACCAAACAAGGACGGTTGGGAGGTTGTTTCCTTACCGGTAAAACTGAGGAGAATGACTCCGACGATGAAGCCCAAAAACTGAATTCTATTCATCTGGAACTCCATTGGTATCTGTTCGGTGAAAAGGTTTAATTTTTGGCCAAACCCTAAAAATTATTCCTGATTTGGGATTTAAACAGAGGACGATGAGATGGGATCAAAGTTCAAACAGATTATTCCTCAGAATACGGCTTAAGAAAGAAGAAAGGAAACTCATGAGGAATGATCAAAATATCTGAATTTGACGGGTCTCAACTAGTCAACTTAATTCGATTTTGTATTAATGTTTTTTTTCTTCAACTTTTGGTCTAGTGTAGGGTGTTAAAAGAAATAATCAGTATAACAATTATATTTAACATGTTAATTGACCAAATCATTCATGTTAAAATATTTTGGTTAACCGTATCGTCAAAAATAGTGATTTATCGTCAAAAATAGTGATTAATAATTAAGGTTACGATTATAAATTTTGATAAATAATTAATAGTTAATGATTAAATTTATAATTATATTGTTTAGGGATAATACTACTATAATTAGAAGTAAATTTTAGCCATATTCTTAAAATTTATATATATTTTAATAAAATTTCCACACAAATAATTTAATATATATTTTTATTATTTTTTATTTTTTTGAAAATACAAAACATACTTACACTAATATAATTATGTGTTTACTATTAAATATCAAGATATTGATAGATTTACATACTAACACATGTATAAGTATATGTTAAGTGTTACTCTTGTTTGTAGTATAAATCATGAAACTTTAAAATGCCCATGTTGTGTTATTTTTGAAAAATAATTGTAAATCGAATCATTAATAATGGTTAACTATTAACGATTAATCATTTCTTAACGATTAGTTTACAATTAGAAAAATCTCGTAACTATTATAATAGTTAACCGATCGTTTAGGTTAAACGATACGATTAACTATCCATGAATAACCCTAATTAGGGGTGGGATGACACATTTATATAATAGATAGATTCGGAGTGAAGTCATATTTAAGGTAAAAAAAACTACTGATTTGACTAGATATAAATTATTAAATTATTCTTTTACATTTATATAATATATTTAATGTTATAGGAATTTTTTTAATATTAAAATTAGTTTTTTAATTTTTTTAAAAATAGTAAATTATTATAAAATATATTATCTTAATCGTTTAAATTATGATGAATGATTATAAATATATTATTTTAATTATTTTAAAATATTAATATATTAAATTAGTTCGGATCGAAATTTTAATTTAAAACTTAAAACAAGTTCGGGACAGGAGAAAAATTAGTCATCACTTGAATGAAACATATCGAGTATAAGAACTATATCTTTGAGTTCGGTTCGAGAAGACAAAAAAAACACCCCACCCGACCCCACCCGACCCGTTTCCATCCCTAAATCTAGTTACGTGGCAAAAGTGCATTGAAGAGTGAATTAATAGCTTTGGAACAATTTGAGTGAGAATATCTATGAAGCCCATCGTTAATCATGCTCCAAATATTAGCCCAAATTTTGGGTCTACTTCTTTACTCAATATAACAATTGATTTATTTGGATGTAATAAAAAATTTTGCTTATTTGAAGTAAAATAATAAAACTGAATTATTTATTTATTTAAATTAAATTAATCATATTTAAATGACTAAAACCAACATATTATGTTTAAATTAATCTATTTGTCATTAGTAGTCTAAGATGATTACTAGATAATATTTATCGAAAGACTCTAAACTTTTTGACAATAAATACTCATACGCCCCTACAATAATCTCAAGGGATAACAATCATCCCTTTAACCATAAATTTATTTAATTTGTACTTAATTTAATATTTTAGATGATTGGGTAGGCACCTATAATTTATTCCAAAAATAATATTTTTAATATAATATTTAAATTATTTTTATTCATAAATTGAAAATTAATAAATATATTAAAACATTAAATCATTCAGAATCAATGGCGAGGATTTTATAGTGAAAAAAAAGAGACAACCCTCATAGTTTGATAGCGTAACTATAAAGAGTTCGTTAAGGCCTAATCATAATTAAAAAAATAGAGAATAACTAATCTATTTGTTAAACTCGATATTATGTGAGTGATTGATGCTTTAAATGATAACATGATTGATAATCATTTAATAGATGTATTAATTAAGGCTTACGTAACGTTCATAGATAAAAAGAAAACAAGTACACGAATTATTTAAAAAATTTAACTGAGAATCAATATGACATTCTAATAATTTTAGAGAAATCTTTGTATCCTTCTCCTACTGAAAATAGATACAAGGAGGGTAGACATTTTGCTATTATAATTTTATTTCTTTCTTTTCCGTTGTTATACAAAAAAATTAAAATAAAATCAACAATATATATATATATATATATATATAGTAATCCACGTGAGATATGTGCTGTAAATATTTCAAAAGAATTTTCTATTATAAATATAATATTTTTAATTTGTTTAAATATAAACATTATTTATTAGAATTATAAGAAAAACTGTTAAAATTTCTTTTTGCACGCGCGGAATTTGAACTAGATTGGTTTTATTTATTTTTATAATTAATTAATTTAATTTTTAAATAATAAAATGATCAAATAGATCGTTTAAAAAATCACGAAAATCACTCCAAGTCAGATTCTCACTATTTCAAGTAAAGTCGAACCCGTAGGCTTCTCTCAGTTCAACTTCATAACAGCCCTCTCAGTGGAGCTATACTTATTTTCTCTCTCTCTTCGATGAGTTCAGCCATGGCGATTCACAAACGATCCCCAAATTTTGTCACTCTGATTATCCTCTCTCTCGTCGCCCTTGCCTCTTCTGAAGTTTTCTTCGAAGAACGTTTCGAAGGTAAACTCTTTCTTTACTCATTTCTCTCCGTTTTCTATTACTAAATCTGTCCGTTGTATCCGAACCTTGAGATCAGCTTTTTTTTTTTTCATTTGAATCTGTTTTTTTAGATGTTTTAGCTTTCAATTTGATCTAATTTTGACTGACCGGTGATTATGTTTTATTTTGGCAGTCAAGTTGTTTTTATTTGTTTCTTTACTCAAATGCTTTATTACGTTTATAAATGCAATTAATTCGAGTAGATCAGCTGATAATCTGATTTCTTAAGTTGGTTCTACATTTTTTTTCTTAATTGAATCAGCGTTAGAGAAATGTAGCTTAAATGCGATAAGAAACGACATTGAATGTTACGGTTCCTAATGTTTCAATTCATTGTAGAGGATAAAGGAATGATGATTAATATATTATTCTGTGTTATTTATTTATTTGTTCCTTATTTTTCATTGATAATTGCGAGGCAGGTATTTAGCAATGTCAGAGGGAAATAGTTTAAAGTTATCCTTTTGAGCTGCATCTATAGATATCAGAGTAAAGCAAAACGTGTACCTATGTAGCGTACTTTGCTTGTTCTGTTAATTAGATTCTGTATTCCTTTCAACAAACAAGTGAGAACTTATGAAAAGGAAGCCGCCTTTGCTTTACTTGTACTTATTTTAGGTTTCGCTGTTTTTAAACAGCTTTGATTGCATGCTTTTTGTCTGATTTTGCTTTTCTATTGTTGTGAGACTTTAGATGGATGGGAAAGTCGGTGTGTAAAATCAGACTGGAAGAAAGATGAGAACATGGCAGGGGAATGGAATTACACTTCTGGAAAATGGAATGGAGATCCTAATGACAAAGGTAAGCTTCTGGAATTACTGTTAATTTGGCATAGATAAAGACTATTATTCAAGTTAGTTACTTATGACTCTGCATCTTGTACAGGTATTCAAACTAGCGAAGACTACAGGTTCTATGCTATTTCAGCTGAGTTCCCTGAAGTTAACAACAAGGGCAAGACCCTAGTCTTCCAATTTTCTGTGAAGCATGAGCAGAAGCTTGACTGTGGTGGTGGCTACATGAAGTTGCTCAGTGGTGTCATTGACCAGAAGAAATTTGGTGGTGAAACCCCATACAGGTTTTTTCATGCTCCTGTGATCTAAACTATTCACATCTCTAATAGATAATATCGTTAGATTTACTGATTTTTATCAAATGTTTGTTGGTTGTAGCATCATGTTTGGGCCTGATATCTGTGGCTACAGCACCAAGAAAGTACATGCTATTCTTACCTACAATGGGACAAACCACTTGATCAAAAAGGAAGTTCCTTGTGAGACTGACCAACTCACTCATGTCTATACATTCATTCTTCGTCCGGATGCTACGTACAGCATCCTTATTGATAATGTTGAGAAACAAACTGGTAGCTTGTACAGTGATTGGGATCTTCTCCCACCAAAGAAGATCAAGGATCCTGAGGCCAAGAAGGTAATTGGTCTTTTTTTTTGTTTGCTTTTTTCTCATCTGCATTTGGAGTACAACACTACAACTTGAATACTTTGCATGACGGGCAGCCTGAAGATTGGGATGACAAGGAATACATTGCTGATCCTGAAGACAAAAAGCCAGAGGTAATAACATTCTCTTATGCTACCTTATATGTACTGCCTGAAGATGCATAGGTAACTAACCGCTAGTGTTTTGATACTATAGGGTTATGATGACATTCCCAAAGAAATTACTGATCCCGATGCTAAGAAGGTAGTCATTTATTTCTTTATGGAATGCTTAGTATACCTTGTTTTGAACTAAAGTTTATTGATTAAAATCATTTACCCCAGCCTGAAGATTGGGATGATGGGGAAGATGGTGAATGGACAGCCCCAACAATTCCCAATCCTGAGTACAAAGGCCCATGGACGCCAAAGGTTTGTCAGATCCTTGCCTAATTGCAAAATATGGTTTGACTTTTGAGTTAGCAACTTGTAACAGCTCTTCCTCTATTTTCAGAAAATCAAGAACCCCAACTACAAGGGCAAGTGGAAGGCACCAAAGATTGACAACCCAGGTCTTTTGCTAAGCTCATTTCTGTTGTGCCTTTTTTTTCTTTTTATATTTAACGTCAAAATGTTTTAGTTTATTTATTCCTGTGCTTTTCCATGGTCCATAGATTTCAAGGACGACCCAGATCTCTATGTTTTCCCCAACTTGAAGTATGTTGGTATTGAGTTGTGGCAGGTACTCTTTTGTGTACTCCTATCCTATTATTATTCCGGTTCATTTTAGAAGTATATAAAGAGATAAATGTTTGTGTTTTGTCAGGTGAAATCTGGAACAATGTTCGACAACATCTTAGTTGCTGACGATGTAGAGTATGCCAAGAAACTAGCTGAAGAAACCTGGGGCAAGCAGAAGGATGTATGTAAATCTTTGTATCTTATGTTCTCATGTCATATTTGGCTGATGTTATTGGCTTTTGCAGGCTGAGAAGGCAGCATTTGAGGAGGCAGAGAAAAAGAGTGAGGAGGAGGTGTTTTTCTTGACTAGTGAAACATCCATCTAATTTCAGTATTGCTTGCACTTGTTGCTTTTCCTTTCTAATTAATGAAAACATGATCTCCAGGAATCAAAGGATGAGCCAGTTGATTCCGATGTAAGCATATGCAGCATCCCTTTTGAAAATATGATTGCTCTGTTTGCCGTTGTGTTGGTTATTATTATTATTGTGTTACCTGTTTTTCTAGGCTGAGGATGATGATGATGTCGATGATGCTGAAGGACATGAGGCTGATTCAGACGACGAGGCCAAGGAAGATGTACATGTAAGTAGTTATTCCGATTTATGAATCAATCTATCAAGTCTATTTTGTTTATTGATCAATGATTGTGCTTTGGTGCAGGATGAGCTGTAGGGCATGATCACTGCAATAATTCGCGGACAATTTGTTTTGGAGATAAAAACGCCTTTAGCACTCGTGAAAGTTTTCCAGTAGCCTAAAGAACTGTAGTTTTCGGGAGTTTTCTGTTAGAGGAAGAAGGAATTGAATGCTTCAGCAAAATGAAAACTGAAATTTGAATGATGCTTTTTATATGTTTTTAACTGTCTGAACAGCGAGATGCCTTTTCTTTTTGTTTATGGTCGCTAGATTTATCATTTATCCAGTAGTTTGAGCCATTCAAGTTCCGAACTTTGTCAGCTGCATGTTTCCAAAGATTGCCAAACCAAATATCTAACCAAGTTTTTGAAAATGAATGAATAAATAAATAAAACACCGCAATACACGCATAAACAAGCAGCCACAGTAACAGTATTTGTTTGCTGCATCTCAAAGTTGATCCTTGCATAACATATTACTTCAAAATAATGTCGTTTTAGTATCCTTGCATAAAATTAAATTTATATTAAAATGATTGTTAGAAATAATACAATAATGATCTAATAATAGTTAATCATTAAAAATATTGTCGTAAAGATATATTAATCTGAAATAAAAAAAAGTCGTTCAGATGACGTGTAGCTTTCGGAGGCTTCAAGAGAAATCCAGAAGATAATAGGCCGAGGAGGACATGACTGCCTCAAAGTGATCTTGTGAGGAGGACATGACTGCATGATGCTGACTTCGGAGGAAATTTTATAAAATAATTCAAACCTGAATTGAATTGATAGTTGAATTTGTTGAGATCTGCATAAATTGAAAGTTATATAATAAAAAGGTTAATATTCAAAACTGACAGAAAATTGCTAAAATTTATTATTTAAAATTGAATGGTTTAATTATTATTTTTCTAATTTAATGACCAAATAAGAGTGATTAAATTTTTCATGGTATGAAAGTAAAGGCTGGGGAGCCTGTTAACAGCATGCTTTGTGCAGCTTGGGGCATTAATGGTTCGGTTATATAGGGAGGGGTTTGGTTTGGTTTGTTGCTGTGTTTTTTTTTTCCTTTTTGGTCTTTGAGTATACAGGGTTTCTTTTGTACAGGTTGATTTAGATTGGTAGTGGTGTTTTTGTATTGGATTTCTTTGAGCTTTTGAGTTGAAATGCAGGTACAAATTCATCTAAAAGGAAGAGTGATGAAATTTTTAGTTTATCAAATAAAACCCACAAGTGAAGAAATATTAAATAAGAGAGCAGTTATTAGAATCTAAACTGGAGTGATGGTAAGCTTAACCAACTTAACAGTGACTTCAATAGAACTACCCCCATTTCACATGAAGACGTGTTGTTTTTGGACAGTCAAATCTGACGTGAAAACTAAGATGTACATAATGCAGTATCTGGATGAGACTATACGTTGCACAGTTAAGTTTGATATATTCTATTCTCTTTGTGGATGTGTAGCCTAGTTTAATCTTCTGCCCACTGCATTTATCATATATCTTTAATATCCATTGTCAGGATTTTGAAATGTGCAATTCCAGTTCCTCACTAATTTTCCTATCCTCCAAACAATCTTCACTTGATGCAGCTGAGTTAGTAGAGCATAATGTATTGTCATTTTCCCATTAGAAACCAGAAGAGGCAGTGATCAGAAAACCGTGATGAGCTTGAATGAAGTTGCAGAGGAATGGAAGAGTCATTGGCGACAAAGGCTGCAACCTTTTTGGCTCACGTCACTGCTTACTGGCTCTGCCCCGGTGATGGCAATTCATGTGATTTTTATTATTATTGTTTCCGTTGGTTAGAAACAGACAAATAGTTGCCACTTGGTGTAAAGCTGTTGACTTTTCAGTGTCTTCGGTTTAACTTTAAATAGCATTTACACAGGTGCCTCCTATTTGTTCTGAATTATACTTTTGTATGTATACGTTAGAAATTGAGATTGCGCCATTGAATTCAGGAGACCACTGCCAATTGCCCCCCAAGGGTTAGGGCTGGGTAAACCACTACATTGGGCAGCTCACTTCCACCCCCCTCCCCCCGATTTTGATTCAAAAATCAAAATTTGTCACGTGATCCGACTCATCCGAGTATTTGATGATATTTTATTTATCTTTATTCTTCGGATGAAAATTTATTTTCATATAATACTAATATCTTTTTTTTTATTTTTATTCGATAGGATATGAGAATAATTAAAAATACATATATGGAGGTATTATGACAATCATTTTTAAATATATAGAGATATTCTAGACTCTATTCTAATCTGACATTCTATTTCACATAACTCTCTCGAACTCAATTTTTTTATAAAAAAAATCGAACTTATAAAATCAAATAAAATATCATAAGAAAAATATTTTGATAATCAATTTTATATTTAAGATGTTGTTAATATATTAAATAATACTTCAAAGATAATTGTATATAACTAGAGTTTGATAAAGGGAGTGAGTGAGACAGTTGTCCCTTAAAATTTTTATATTAATATATATTTTAGATATTTTCTTTATGTTTTCAATTGATAATATATTTTTATTTCTATAATTTTATAGATTTACCCCTTTTAAAAATTTAGAAATTCATATCCGAACCTAAGATCATACATAAATCCTTGTACGTATCACTAATCTATCTCCTCTCGCATGATTAAGTGCTAAGTGCACATTGGTGAGTGAGAAAGATGAAAACCCAGATATAGAAGAAGCCAAAATCGCTTGAAATTATTTGCATGCGCTACCCAAATCTAGTCATTATCGCTTAATCTCAAACCTTTTATGTCAATGTGTACCAACAAGTACGGCCCACTCAATCCTTTCTAACCATACAATTTTGATTTAATATTTTTTTCATGATCTTCATTTAATTTCTTAACACCAAAATATATCATTAATCAGATTTCATTTTCAATGTTGATGTCACAATCCATATCTTTTGTAAATCCCAACAAACCCAGATCTCATGCAGTATTAACGAAGAAGCAAAGGCATCATGTGAAAGTTGAATAAGGAAATGGACAGGTTAGGCCATATGTGGTGTGTGATCTTATTCCTTCAATAATCCAACAGAAGAAGAAGAAGAATAGAACAGTGTTAATCATTAATCTTTGCAACATTTTTCAGAATATTTTTATAAGTTCATAAAAAATGATGTTTCACAATTTCCCAGGGACCTTAATTAACTTGATTCAATGCTCTAGCTAGACCATTCATGGCTCTATAACCCTTTGAACTGAACCCCAAGCAGCCGAGCAAGCCTTGCCTGTAAGGCAAATATGTCTTCTTCCTTAACTCTTCAGCTTGTGCTCTATTTGCAGTGTAAAGCAACTCGTGTGGCGATGGTGGAACCCTCTTTTTACCTATCCCATTCATCGGCTTCTTCTTCGATTCTCCGCCACCGGCTTTTGGCTTCTTTCCCTTTGCCGGATAAAATGAAATCTTTGACCATAATTTATAATAATTGATGTTGCTTCTTCCTTCATTTTTAGTCCTTAGAAAATCTTTGAGGAAAACCCATCTCTTTGAGCTTCTCACAGCTTTGTCGGTGTCAGCTTTGCCGTTTAAATCTTCGTTTGTGTCAGTTCTTAAAGGGGACATGGATCTTGTTCTTCTTCTTAGACTCGACGATTTATGATCTCTCCCCCTTAAATTTTCTTCTTCGCCGTCTTCGTGTTCGAGATCCAGCAATGGAGTTAATGCCTGAGGCCTTTCCAAATGAGTGGACAGCTTCATCGGTCTGATCTTTCCGTTTAAGAAAAGCTCATCGGCCGAACTCATGGATCCCGTTTGACCCGGACCCGATGACCCGAACCTTGCGGAGAACTCGAAATCAGGAGAAGAGGGCTGTGTTGTAGACAATGACACCATCGAAGAACCGAGTGAAGATGTCATTGCGAAATGCATGGGGCTAGCTGGTGCACTGTAAAAGAACCCGCCATTGATGAAGCCGGGTCCGGGTCTAGGCGCCCGGCCTGGGCTGGAAGGTGCACTGCCATAGGGTGTGGAGCTGGTGCTTTCTAAGTAGTCTTCTGGGAAAACTTGGGCGTTTGGGGTTTGGGACTCCATTGTCGTTTGTCGACGGAATGAGATAGAAAGTGAATGCATTTGTTCATCCATGGGGTGCTTTATAAGCTGCCGAATACCCCCAATTTCGACTATCTTTTTCTGCTTGTCCCTAATGAATTATAATCACTCCGCTAAAATATTAATTTACTAGTCCCTCAACTAAAATTATGGTTCTGCTCTATATGCCATGTTCAAATTTAACATCTACATTATATATTTTATTCTAAATATTTATCGTTATTAACTAGTTTAAATAATAATTATTTTAATTATAATCTTATTTTCTATTCCTTTCTTAAAATTAATATTTTTAACTAAGTTGACATCCGTTTAATCAATATCATTAATTCAATAAAATGTAATAAACAATACAAATAAATAGTAATGTTAATATTTAAACTACGTACCAAATTATAAAAAAATATCACATTAATGTAAATATTTTTATTTAATTATATATATCTGATTGATTAAATAATTAATTCGAACTAAATATTATAAATACTTATTATAGTAACAGCCATCTAACCCTAATTTATCACATTTATAACATTAAAAGTTCCTATGACCTAGCCAATGTTTCATCCCGTCGCAACAGCTGTTTCCCGAGTTCCAAACAAGATAGTTCACAACCGTGAATCTAACATTTAATAGTGGAAGTATATAGTGAAGTGGCATTGATTGAATTCCACACATTCCCCCTCCCTTCTCAAATTATTTTGAATTTCAATTTCACCCAGAAATTATAACGCAATCAATAATCCCATGCTTATAAGTGTGAATGGTGGTATGAATGTCAAATTGAAAATAAACACAAATAATAAATTATAAATGTGTTCTGCCAGATATACCACCTAATTAATTAATAATCATCGTTACAATATAACTATTGACTGTGATTAAACTAAAGGTGAGAAGGATTAACATGCTAATTTACAGGATTAAGATACTAATCACGGTTAACAATTTCCTTTAAAATAATTTAAAATGTTAAAATTTAAGATTTCCACGTGCTAATATGTGAACATTTCAGATCTTTTTGATTGTTTCAGTTGTATGTATCCAAGAAAGAAGAATATTGGTAGCCACTAGCCAACCCAGCAATAGGAAATATAGAGCGGTCAGTCAAGGCTTAACAGCTGCACATAAATATGATTAAGGCAGTTTTCTGGTGAAAGTGTCTACTAGGTCCCTCTATTATAGAGACTATATCAATTTAGTTTGGCCACTATTAAATTTATCAACTTAGTCTATATATGTATGCATCTATATATTGTTCGTGAGAATAAGTTTGACTCGTTGACAGTTCATCTCCTATGGTTTGGCGGAAAGTCGTAGTTGGTGAGAGAACAACTATTAGCATAGTGTTTGGAGGAAGGATAAAGTGGATTATCACGAGGAATAAAAAAAAAGAGTTTATCAATTATAGATGATTGATCCATTCTTCTCGTCTTGATTGGAGGTATTTATAGTGGACTTTAGTGCATGTGGTAGCCATAGGATTATTACAATTATTTGTAGGCTAACAGGTCATATGAATTTGATCATCATACTTCGAATTTCCTTATGGCACATCATGTGAGCTTGCCATAAGTCTTGTCTATGATTGCAGTTAACTAGAAGTCTATATAGTATTAATGTAGGCTAATCAGAGGCTTTGGCGGATAGAGAGCTAAAAAAAATTTATGAGTCCGATCTGACAAAGGCTCGAAAATTTTCAGATTCTGTATCCAAAAATATAAAATAAAGAAATGGACGAGAACAAGAAAAGATCCATAAAAAAATTTAATGGGAACCACCAAGAGAAAGGTTATCTCGGAAGAGCCTTACAGCAATGTATGAAATAAAGAAATTGCATTTTCCGCTGCTTCAAATGCTTCCCATATTTAGTGTTGATGTATATTTGGACAAGGTCATCCACCATCATATACCCCGACACCCATGCCTGTCCAGCCCAACATCTCTTTGCACAACCTCTTCTGCCACCAACCAACCCTTTTTCTTTGCACCAATTTTTCCCCAACTAACCCATCCTTTGCATGTTCCAACCAAAACTTGCCCACACCTTATCTCCCTCACATACTCAACCAAAAGCTTTTGTCCAACCTTGTTTTCACGTTCAACTTCATTGGAACCATTCATCCTCATAACCTCTTCAAGAGTTTAAAGCAGGCAAAGGCTGTCCATGATCCGATCCCTTGTCATCAGTAGCCAACATCTATTGCAATTTCTACAGTAGGAAGATCATCATTCACGGTAGGAATCATCCTGGGTTGGGTTTTTTGTTCATTCGAATCCGACCCTTCAATTAAATCCCTCCACCTATACTCGATCTTGGTTTAGGAGGATTCCACTCAACTCTTAGATAAAATAAGAACTTAATTGAAAAAATATAATATATAAAGAGATATTATTACAATTATCCTTAAATATATAAGAGATAATTATAATAATATATCAAAATAAAAATTTTATTCTAATTCCTAAACTAAGTCTTATCTAAATCAAATGGGTCAAATTAAAATCAAATTATAATTACAGATTTTAATCCAACAATAAATCCCTATTCACATGCCACTTCTTTATAAGAATGAAAAGATCCTTTGCATTATCAGATGCTACTGAGCTTGAGTTTATGATCACCTTGTTCATATTCTTATTCTGTCTAATTCTGTCATTTAGAGTCCTAGTCTTTGTACGGGAACTTTTGCTGTGCGGCGCTTAAAAAATGTTAAAAACGGCGTGATCGGTTAAAGAAGTGACCGGTTAAAATTTAGACCGGTTATGTTATATCATTTAACCATAAATATTATTAAACACAATAACATATTAGGTAGCACTTATATAATAAAATAGATTTTAACCGAAAATATTATCAAGTACAATACATATTAGGTAGCGCTTATATAATGTAATAAGTAGCGCTTATATTTATCTAGTTTCTCATAAAACCGGTAAATTTCAACCAGTTACATTGTAAATTGATCTATTACATTATAATTACCGGTTTCGATGTTTTTGGGATCGATACAATTTTAAATGTATCGACACTTTATGCGTGCACCTGTTTGTGCTTTCATTTTGGAAAAAAAACATCAACATATTTAAAGAGTGTCGATACATAATGTAGACATATTTGCTAATTAACCGATATATTTTTACAGGTTACATTGTAACCTATTACATTGTAACCTCGTCTGGACAAATGTATCGACACAAATTTAAAAAGTGTTGATACTTTATGTTGACATATTCTCTCATTAACCCGGTATATTTCTACCAGTTATATTGTAAATGTATCGACACTTTATGCGTGCATGTCGTTTGGCCATTCATTCTAGACAATAAGTATCGACACAAATTCTAATAGCGTCGATACATTATGTTGACCTATTTTATAATTAACTGGTATATGTATAATGGTTACATTGTTAATTTACCTATTACATTATAATTATTTGTTTCGATGTTTTTGGGGTCGATACTTTTGGAAAATGTATCGACACATATGTTTACATATGTATCGAAACAAATCTTTGTGTTTACTAATTTTGTCATTAAAAAAAGTATACTTTTACCACCTGCATTGTAATTTTACCTATTACTTTAAAGTTATTGAATTTTTTAGTTATTGTACATACCTGAATATGTCTTGCAAATTTAATGTTGTACCCACCCTTCAACTACCACTACCAATACCACATCTTATTGAAAGTACCACTGAAACATGTTGTTCAATGAACCTTTATTTACATCTCCATCAACTCCTGTTGGGACCATTGAAATTGCACAACAAATTTTTTCCATGGATCATACTGATACAGACAATGTTAAGCCAATCGAGGAATTCCATGAAGTACATAATGTTGATGAATCTGACATATTGGTTGGTAAGCTCTTCTATTAACGTGATCAAGCTTGGTACTTTTACAAGGGATTCGCACGGGAACATGGGTTTAGTGCACGTCAGGGAACAACACGACTTGACATGGAAGGGAATGTGAAGACACAAGAATTTTGTTGTTTGAAAGAAGGGTTTCGAGTATCAAAAGTCAATACCGTTGATCGTCAACGTGCTCATACGCCATTCACAAGAACAAGATGCAAGGCTAGAGTCGTAGTTACAGTAACAAATACAAACGATCAGTGGGTTATAAATAAGTCTTATCAGAAACATAATCATACATTGTGCACACCTGCTATGACACCATTTATGCGTTCTAATAGAGCTGTAAGTAAGGCTGATATCGATGAGGCAACAACATTGAAAGAGATCGGTGTTGGCACATCACAAGTAATGAACTATTTAACGCAGTAGGCAGGGGGCTATCATAATGTTGGATTTACACATAAAGACCTCTACAATGCACTTCGAAGAGGTAAAGCAAAGGAAATCGTCAATGGGGATGTGAATGCACTTATTGCTTACTTTGATTATAAGAAACATGATGATCCTGGGTTTTTTGTGACATACTCGGTAGATGAATCAGGGGCGTTGCATAATCTTATTTGGTCAGATTCTACATCGAGATCAGATTACATATGCTTCAGTGATGTAATTGCGTTCGACACAACGTACAAAGATAATTTGTATGGTCGATCAATTATGCCTATTGTCGATGTTAATCATCACCATAACACAATTGTGTTTGCTACTGCTATAATCGTTGACGAGACGTCTCAATCTTTCGAGTGGGTGCTACGAATTTTTTACAAGCCATGATGAACAAATCGCCTATTTCAGTTGTCACCGATGGGGATAGGGCAATGCAGAGGGCTATCAAATCTGTTATCCCTAATGCTAAGCACAAATTATGTTCTTGGCATCTTTCTCGCAATGCACAAGCTAACATTGGTAACCCAAAATTTACAGCAGCATTCTCAAAATGCATGGCTTCCTGGTGGATAACCAACGAATTTGATATTCAATGGCATTCAATTATTTCAGAATTCAACGTCGAAAAGCATTATGGGTGATTGAGAAGGGAAATACTCGGCAC